ATGATTTATAAAGTGTTTACAGATGAATTAGTAACCTATCTATAAACTCTTTACAAGCCATCTATAAAGGGAGCCTTGTTGTAAAGTGGTACCCCTTTAAAAAAAAAATATATATATATATACATTACAAGCATTTGAACATGTATGACTGGTTAAATGTAAACACCTTACCAAAACTGGGGATTTGTGTGAACGGATGTTGAACAAATACTTGGCCTCTCTATGAATATTGTGGCCCCTTACTCAGAAAAATCCTAGATCCGCCCCTGTGTCTCAGTGCATATTTTAAAAAATCTTATTAATTTTATTCATCTGTTTATTGTGTTACATACTGACCATTAAATATATGGATTTAAGTCAACATGTAGCAGCATGAAAACAGTTCTTGCACAAGAAAAAAAAACATACTTTTTGAGTGTTTTCAAGCCAGTCTAAAAGCTTGTTTCTTTTTTTTTTTTTCATCCGTGTGTGTGTCCGTGTGTGCCTGCGTGTGCTTGTGTGGCAGTGTGGACAGGATCCAGCAGTTAAAGAGAGAGTATCAGCAGGCGAGACGAGAAGGAATGGTTCCACCTTATGAAGAAATAGACCCAAGACGTCGATGGCACGAGACTGACCCACACAGGGTATGTACAGCCCCAATAAAACAGATTTAGGCATGCAAAGATGCCCAGATCCTCGTTAAGCCCAATGGCATCATTATTTTTTTTTTTCAATCTGAAGAATACTCATTTTTCACATTTGCAAATATCTTTCTCTGTCCACTACAAGTTAGTATTTTTTTTTCTGTTTGTTTTTTACTGGGTGCTGAAGTTCTAATGCAGCTTTTTCTTTTTAGTTTTTTTTTTAATTCCGTGTCAGCCAGTCAGAGTGATCACTGCTTTTACTGCATCAGTGGAGTGATCAAGGCCCCTTTAGCTGTCAGTCGCAAGGTGCTCTTTGGCATAAATGGCTCCTGTGGGCATTGAGCTGATGGTGCTGATATGATCCACTTTTCACTGAGGATGAGACACAGRGGAGATAAATAGAGGTTCGAGTCACTTGTCATCCCCGCAGGTACTGTTTTTCAAATCACAGAATCATAATCACATCCACACAGAACCACGACGGAGGTTAGACCGCCCGAGCCGAACCTGAATACCTCGTCTGTAATAAAGTAATAACGTTTTGTTAATATGAGGAAAAAATTACCTCCCACTCTAATATCAGGYGTCAAGTGAAGCTAATCAATGCAAGTGTATGTTCAGTGTTACTCATGGTTTTTTTCCAAAATAAGTTGCTGATAAAAAGAAGAAAATCCTCAGCAGTAATGTCTCCAGTTCTGTTTGGGGTGTGGTGTTGGGAGGCATAGATTGATTTAAATGTTTGGCTTTAAGAAGGAAAAAAGAATTCCCTCGGAACAACCAAATTTAGTTACTGGAGCTTTAATCCTCTGCGACTAATTGATATGTTAACTGGAGAATAAAATACTTTAACCAGCGCACCAACTCCTCAATCTGACATTTCTCTTCTGTTCCTATATACTATCAAACATCTTTATTGCTTGGAAAATAAAAAAGTCACATATCAGCACTTGGTGATTACAAAATGATGTTGCATACCAACCACATTAGAGGCTGTGTACTTATAAAATACTAAGTACACAAACCTGTTCATTAT